ACTGGATCAACCCAAGTTTTTTTTCCGTTGGAAATCTAAAAATTCATTGCCACTTAGGAAACTAGAAATCGTTCACCTTTTTTGTTTTTTTTTGCGCCATTTCCACGTTCGTATTTGTAGAGTGAGTGATATTTACGTCACTTTCAGCAGATGAATTGGAATTTACCTCAACAAGTGCATATATACCTAAGTGCATTCATAAAAGCATCAAAATGTATGAATGCACATCTGTAGTTATTAGAGACTTTTATGGACATTTCACATTTTTTCCGGAAAAAAAATCAGCAAGACCTATATAAGAGTTTTCACTAGGTTCATTACTATTAAAAAACTTGGAGAGGGTCACGGCTGGTGATTACGGAAATGTCAATTTCTTTCTATGCAACTTTCATTTCAAATTTTTATTTGTTAAGCTCTGAGCTTGCTGAGCTGCTTGTACAGTCGCAGTCTTTCTTTGCTGATCATATAACCCTTTTTACCTTCTCCATCGCACCATAAGAACGAGCATATGATTGGGTATCCCTTAAAGTTGGCTATCCTCGCAGACACATCTCGTTCAAAATGCATCTTCGGCAACACTCCCAGTTTACCTGAACAAATATAGTGAGCTTGTTTGTTTTGTTTGCAAGATTCCCGAAACATTCTTGAAAACTGTTTTGCTTGCAGCATTCTTGAAAAGACGAGTTGTATCAAAAGTCTTGATAAGTGAGAAGGTTTAGTTCTCCCCGGCACCGTAAAAAAGTATTTTCTCAAATGATATTTGAAAAACCCAGAAAGCAGACTATAATTGCTTAATGACAACCTACCAAACTTATTTCAGAAAAATATGACAAAACTTTGGATCAATTTGTTTCTGATAGTTCCGACCACTCTTAGAGGGGAAAAACTATGGCGCAGCGATAAGGCTCTTCTGTGGGGTTTTAGGTACCGCTTAAAATTCATACGGTAGTCCAGTGCCGTATTACACAAAAAAATGCCAGTTTTGTTCTTATTCCAAAATTCTTCTAGACGAGTTTTCTCGGCTTCACTGGTTAAAAAGGTTAAAAAGACATAAAGAAAGACGTCTAGAAAGACTGGTTAAAACATAAAAAAAGAGAGAAAATTGGGTGAAAACCATTCACCACTTTTCAATTTCGAAGATGAACTCTGTTTATTTTTTTAATGTTGAAGTTGACAAAAATTCTTTATGAGCGTGTTCAAGTTTCGGACCTTAAAAATATAAAAATTATTTTCAATTACAAAAACATTGGAATTTCTGTGGTCGGAGCAATCTGCGCAACTTGCACAGCAACCGGTCAATCTGGGGTTTAGTAAAAATACTTTGAATGTTTTTTACCTCCAGGAGTCCTTGCACTGCGCATTCCTCTCGGTGGAAGAGCTAAAACGAACAGATAATCGAAGAACTAAAGCAAAAAAGCTAGAATGAACAGATACACATTCTTCGAATTGGATTAAAAAAACACTTCACTTTATTTGGTTAAAAGTTTAGATAAGCAGCGTATCATAGATTGATGTAACAAAACCAAACTTTTCAAATTTTTGATATCACCAGTTTGATTTTATCGTTCCGACTCTCAAAGAAAACGGAATGTGTTTTATTTTTTATAAAGTTTTATTCAGTCAATTTACGGTGATCGAAATAATAGTTGTGGGAGTTTAAAAATTGCCAAACTGGTTATGCTCTCCCGTAGCTAAAATATGTTCAAATTCAAATCTGAAATAACCTATTTCAGATCTTATATTCAGATCTGAAATAAGTTGTGAAATGTTAAAATAACGCTTGGATATTTAAGATTGGGTTATTTCAGATCTCATTTCAAATCTGAAATTTTTGTTGTTCTTGGTTACTTCATATCTTAAAAAAATCTAATTCAGATCTATTCTGAGATCTCGAATTTGGTATCTCTTGGTTATTTTTGATCTAAACGTAACTTTTGGTCTGGCATATTTTTAAAACTATTTTAGGTACATTTGTATTTTATAGTTTCTACAGGCTACTTAGCAGTCAGCAAAGTCTCTGATTGGAGCAAAGCCTCTCCAAAGCAGCATATACACATTGAAACGCAGAAGAAGCGAATGAAAATTGAAAATTTTATACGCATTCTAACAATTTTTGAGGACGTTTCAACCAGTTGAACAAGAATATTAGTTTAAAAAAAAACAGTTTGTATTTTTATTTGAAAGTTTATTTATGGCTAAATAATCTAAACAACATTTTGTAGTGCAGGATCAGCGAAAAATCAAAACTCAATTTTTTGCTCGAAACGCATAACTTATAATTTATCAAAGACCTAATTTTAAATCTGAAGTTTGGTTTTTCAATGTTATTTCAGATCAAAATTTCAGATATGCATTTTTTCAAATCTTTATCAAGATCTGAAATAATAATTTTCAGATTTGAGAATCAACTCATGTGAAAAAGAACGAATTTCAGATCTGAAAGCGTAACGCAAACTGTATACTCTGGCAATTTATCCCGCCCAGCAAAACTGTTTCAAATTAAGTTATGGTTGGGTCATTTGTCGTATTTAATCGGCCCGACTCAATTTTTCACACATTTTTATCCAAAAATTATAGTGTTTTGAGATTTTTTTCACAAAAACTATTCGATATGGACTAAAAGCAGTTGGAAGATTCAGGGTTTTGCCCTGATAAACGAGCTGTCTCGTTTTCCTAAATAATAATAATACATTTTGACCCAAATGATTTTAAAGAAACGTACGCTTTGTTTGATTTAAGATTGTGCGGCGGATTGAAATCGTTTTGTTTCTTACGACAAACGACTTCAAATACCAAAACTCTTGTGTGTGTGTACTTGTGAGCATTTATTGCGAACTGTATTCAAACCCGACATAGGTATATAGCCTACACGGTAATTCGCAAATAGTGAAATTGCTTAAAGTTTTCTTCATACTCAGTTACAGATAACGAAAAAGGAAAAAAGGCACAAAAAGTTTTTGAAAAATTTCTACAATTCTTTTGCGTTTGCAATAAGAGCGCATTATTTTATAATATAATAGCGTAGGGTGAAAAACTAGCACATGTTTTTTTTCTTCAATTTGTGAATGAAATATGACAGTTTGTATGTTCCCACTGCCTTTGAAGGTCTATAGAGTAGTGTTCGTTAGAAAAAATTCGATTAAGAAAAAAAGAAATAACTTCATTTTTCCTGAAAATTTTCTTAAAAACCAGCCCTCAAACGGTCTCTATTGTACAAAGTTATATACTTTGCATATACCAAAGTTTTAAATAGTCCAAGTAGCTTGCCTAAATTTAATTTGTATTGTTTTTTGAGAGAGATTAAATCTCAACTTACGCGTTAATAGCGCGAAACATATCGCGTGTTAATTGTCCAAAGTTGAGCAAATTGACAACCTTTGAACCCCCCAAACTTTGCGTTAAAAAAGATCACAGGTGAAAAATCTTTGTAAAATTGACCTCAATTCAACAAAATTTCTGACAAAAAAGGCTAGGTAAGAAGTCGAAAAAAGTTTGGTGAAAAAATCACCCAAGCACAAAGATTCCGTCACCACAATAAAACAAATTGCATATAAAACAAGACTGCTCGTGTCAGGGCGAAGCCCTGAATGTTCCGACTGCCTTTTAAGGTTTATTGAGCAGCAGTAATACATAAAAAAAAGTTAAATGAGATGAAATAAAATAAAAAAATTTTTTCTAAAATTTGAAATTTTTTATGAAAATCATCCCCCCACACGCCATATAACGTACAAAAAGATAGATTTCGTTCCTTGTAACAAGTCAATTATGGCAAATAAGCTTCGTTCAACCAATTTGGAACGATTTATAAGACGGATTAAATCTCCGCTTACGCGTTAGTAGCGCGAATTATATTGCGCGTTAATTGTCCCAAATTGGTCAAAATGGCCAAAATGGCAATCTTTAAACCCTCATAACTTTACGAAAAATGATCACAGGTGAAATATCTTTTCAAATTTAAGCTCAGGACAACAATACCTTTTGAATGATATAAAAAAATTCCGTCAAAAATGGCTAGTTAAAAAGTCGAAATTTGTCTGAAGAAAAAAAAAACCCACCCCGAGCACAAATATTCCGTTACTTTCGTATCGAAAGTCGGAACAAAAATACCAAATAGACCAAACAAACATGCCTTATTTAAACTTGAACCATTTCTAAGATGGATTAAATCCCCGCTTACTCAATAATAGTTCAAAGTTTATCGCGCGTTAATGGTTGCAACGGCCAATTTGGCAATTTTTAAGCCTCATAACTTTACATCAAACAATCCCAAGTTAAACATCTTTTTAAGTTTGATCTCATGGCAGCAATGCTTTTCAAATGCTGAAAAAATTCTGTCGAAAAAAGCAAGTTAAAAATTGAACTTTGTCTGGAGAAAAAAAAGCAACCCATGCAGATTTGTTCCGTCACTTTCTTCAAAAGTCGGACAAGACTGCTCGTATTTCATGGCAAAGTCCTGAATGTTCAAATCCTTTAAATACTTTTTGCTTTAAAAATATCTGAATCTAACCCCTACACGCTATATCATATATAATGCGAGACTTTAGCGTCTCGTATTGTTTTAATACGACTAAATTGCTGGCTTCAACTCAATTTGGAACGCATTAATCCGCTGCGTGTTAAACACGACCATACACTGCGCGTTAGTCATTCTAAATTGAACAAACTAGCAATTTTAAAACCCCAGTAGTTTTCTTAAAAATGATAACAGGTGAAACATTTTGTTTCGTCGCATCGCCGAAATATCTTACACGTTTAGTTAAAAATTCGAAATGACTGAATAAAAAACAAACTCAATCATAAACAAACCGCACATTTTCCGAAAGTCGGAGTAACAAGACGGCGCGTATCAAGGTGAAGCCTTGAAGGCTCCGACTGCTTGTTCAGGTCTATGGAGAAGTGTTCGTTTTTAAACGATTGATGAAATTTTCAAAAAACATCGAAGAAAACCTGTTTTTATTCCAAAAAAAAAATTAAAAATTACCTTTTTTAAAAATTAACTCCTTATTAAATTTCTCTTGCAATATCTTCTAAACTTGGTTTTCACAAGAAAACAGGTTTTGCTTTTGAAAGCACTTCATATCTTGTCTAATATCTACAAATGTTAAGACTGACCTGGTGCATCTATTTTCCGTTTGGGCGATTGAGATCTGGTTTTATGTGGAAAAGAGTTACTCCTGGTGGCATTGGCTAAAATCAACAAACAACTATTGCATTTTGACTTAAAAATAGATAATTTAAATGCAAAAGAACAATGGGAAATCATATAAAACGGTCTTAATTTCTGTAGGAACAACAGTCTTTTCAATTGTTCTTGTTCCCACCGTTTCAGGGAGTGGGAAGGAACTATAGCTTAAGATATGTTTGTTTCTGCTGATTCTAGATACCCCAAATAAATCTAAAAGGGGGTCAAGTTTGGTATCATATTAGAGACTTTTCAGCCGTGATTTTGATTCTTGGAGAAATCAAAAAATGTCTTACCTCAAAAAAGTTTTTTTTTCGTTTTACATTTTAAAGATTTTTCAAGACTAATTTTTCAATCTACTGTTTTTTAGAGTTTTTTCTTCTTTTCGGTGTCATTAATTGGTCCTTATCAATTCAATTTCTTCGCAAACTTTTTAAAATCAACATCAAAAAGCTTAAAATAAATTTATGATTTTGAAATTTTGATTTTTTTTCTTTTTTCATACTTTGAGAAAAAGTGGCGGAACATTCTATGCTACTTGCACAGCAAATTGCCATCCCTGCTTCAATAAAAGTAATAATATTGGACGTGAACAAAATTTGAAAAAAAAATATGATCAAATACCAACATGCCCCATTTGGGTTCTGGCAGGCATCTGCCCCTTGCATGTTGATCGGAACTCTCTGTCGCGTTTTCACACGTCGAGGCCTCGATCCCTCCTCAGGCCAAGTGCCCCCTTTCGACTGGTCGCCGTCTTCAGCTCGAAGACACATATTTTGATCCTCTTCCATCATTTCCATCCTAATTTCACCAGGTGCCATATACCCATCGCCATCTTCATCTTGTTCATGTGGCATAGCATTTTGATCACGTGATGGAATTGCATAATCGCCCTCTTGTGGTGTATGAGGTGCTTTTCGTGATCTCATTTGAGGTGATCGAGCGGGACTCTGCGTTTTGGCACGCCTCTGCCTGGGTCTCTGTTTTGGCTCCTGAGTGTTTTCCAAGCTGGTCTCAATTGGCGATGTTTTGGGCGATCGACTGTTACTGCGGCCACGCCGCTCTCTTTGAACATTTGGAGAGTGATCTGATAATAATCATCAAATCAAAAACTAAATACTTAAAAAATTTATAGATTCTTTTGAAAGATTTTTTCCCGGAAAATGAGTTTCCTGTTTTATAACATTACCGATACTAACCTCTCTTCTTGCCAAAAATACGGCTGAGAAATCCACCTGAAACAAAAAAATGCATTGAAAAAACGACTCTGAGGTTTCAAAAAGGGTTAAAAAAAGAGAAGTGAAGAAAAACGCCAAGTATCTATTACATCAATTCACTCGGAAATAGCAAAAAACGACCAAAAATGTTGTAAAAAACGACAAAAATAGTGCCGACCTTTTTTATTTTCTCTTCCTTCAGAACTATTCCTTTCAGAGTCTCGATCCTGGGCCAGGGGGAAGGTCGAACACTTGTTCACGCCTCTGTTCAGCTCTCTTGATGGCAGTCTGACGTAATAACCACTAATTGGCGTCTCGTCTAACTGACGTTCGGCAATAACTTCGTTCGGATTGTTCCGATGTGGACTATATTTGTCTCGGTTTAATTGACCTGGTTTAATTTGATTTGAACTCTCATTTAGGTCAAATTGATTCGGGTTGATTGGATCGGGACGTTCCCGAAACCAACTGTGCTGCTGCTCCTGTTCGTACCAGTGTTTTGGTCTTGGTTGGAGGAATGTGTTAAAATGATTTCCAGACTGATACGCCCAAGGCTGGCCCAGGGGACGAGGATATCTCTGGAACTCTACCGAATCCACAAAAAAATGGTTTCTTTAATGACAATTAAGTAACCCGTTCATGCGAAAAACGTTTTAGTATAATTATTCTCAGAAGTTTTTTTCATCTAAATCAAAACTTCGTTATAAAAAAACTGAGGAAAATTTGTAACTTGTGAGTAGCTCGCACCCCCATTAACCGAAAGTGAAAGTGTATTTAGTATATCTTTTGATACTAACAAAAAAAAACTTTTTTACTACGAATGATTTTTGGTTATACTTGGCGTCAATTAAACTTTGTTCACTTCGCTAATTTCTAACTTGATAACCTTCATTATCATCTAACTTCCCCTTCCTAATTTTCCTCAATTCGCGTCGCTCCCTCTTCAACCTCCGTTCATTTTCACACTGTTTATCATACGCACTTTTGAGGAACTCATTCATGGACTGGCTAGTGGTCATTGGCACCTCAGGCTGGTCCATACTATGGTCATCTAAACTGAACTCCCCGTTCGCCTGTAGAACTCTTTTTCTTTCAAGCCTTCCAATATAACCAACCCATCCACTATACTTATTTTGATTGGAAGTCAAACAAACTTAGCGGAAGATCTCGGATATTTCACGTTCTGAACCAAAAACTATTCGCTCGTCTCAATTTTACTCCATTTGAGGTCGAAAGCCTTAATTTTCCATTTTTTTTTCGTTAAATTTAAGCAATGTGATACAAACTGATCACGTAAGGTTTACTGGCAGGTTATCTGATAAAGTCTGGTCTTGAAAAACTTTAAGGCTGGCGAAAAGAAAACGAGTCCAAGCCTCGTCGTAATTTTTTGGCTTCTTCTGTAAAAACTCTTTACGCGGAGGTCCCTTCATGAACACATAACCTCCATTTTCTTTAGTTGCAGACTCCGAAGAGTCTAGTTTATAGTTGCTCTCAACCATCTGCTCTTGGTTCTGTTGTGGTTGCTGTAGGTTTTGTTGTTGCGGCATTTCGTGCTGTCGGTCTAGTTCCTGTTGAAGTATTTGATGTTGTTGCAGTTGCTCCAAGTTTTGCTGGTCATACGGATTAACCTAAGCAGTATTTATCATCTTTCTGCAAGTCAGCAGATAATTTTATGGAATTCACTTAACGAATAACTTTTTCCTTAAGTTTAATTTAACAATCAACCAATTTCGTTCCTATTGGAATTTTTATAAAGCCCACTGATTTTGAGTTAATATTTCAAAGCACCCACCCTGTATTCAAAACTGTTCCAATTTAAAAGAAACTGTTGAGTACTTCAATACATAATGGAAAAAAATGTAACAAAGTAATGCAACTACAGAAAATTTTTTAAAAAGTAAAGAAATTCTTTGTAATCATAAAAAAACTGAAGCTCCGATATTGTTTGCCATATTGTTATGTAGATGCATGTTTTAAAGAAAGAAATTCACAAAAAAAGTGCTCAGAATTTAATGCAACATTGTAATTTCTGTTGCAATTTTGGCAGAAGTTTTGAACAGCGCAAGAAAAAGTGCCCGTGAGTTGCATCTCTTGCAAAATGAAAATAAAATCTTAAAAACCGTCTGGTACATTCCAGATCAAAAGTATACGAGTTTTTTTCCTGTCTAATGTACGGGTCTGATGTAAATATGTTTGTGAGGTTTCAAATTTGGCTGTTTCAGTTGAATCAAACAAAAATAAGGCTCAAAACGCGTTGTTGTTACTCTAGTAATAAAAAAAATTATGATCCCAAGCTTTTATAGAAAATTTTTTGAGTTCTGAAAATAATTTTCTTGCACTACTTTTTTGCCAGTATAATTGATGAAATTCGAGTTTTTAAAGGTGTCAGCTTCGTTTTCTTAAAATTGAAAATAATTAGTTTTTCGACACGAAGGAACGTCAAAATGAACATTTCGTAGCAGGCGACAATTCGTAACAAAGGCATTGGCAAGTAGAATACGCTAACTCCGCTACGCTCCGCTTCGCTCCGCTGCGCTGACATCCTATACGAGAGGAATATTGCGCGTGAATCAATGTTCCCCGCTTAATCTACTGTTACGAATTGTCGGTTGTTACGAATTGTCGCCTGTTACGAATTGTCGCCTCACGAGTTGGAACATTAAGGCTTCGTTCTGTTCTGGATACAAACAGTATTGTTTTCAACTACAGATCGAGTTCAGCGCTTCAAGTAAAAAAGCTACCTCATGATGAATTGCTTCAGAACTGTTATGATCTCGAGGTTCTCGCTCTTGTCCGTTCCTTGCTTGTAGGCTTTGTTCCCGTAGCATCTGATGTCTTTTCTCTATTTCTTGTCGTAATTGTGCCTTTTGCGCTCGTGGCTGTCGATCAGCTCGACGAAAAGGCGATCGATGCCTGTGCCTGACTTTGTGATCGGCCATTTTTTTTTAAATTTAGTTCAGTTATCATACAGTCCTTCTCATCTAACTAATTGAGAAACAAGTTGCATGGAACTTACAAGTTGAGTTGATTCATGTGTGATATAATTTAACTTTTTTTTGGTCAAGGTATGTTAGTATCAATTTTTAGTTCAGTCAAAGACGTCTTTTTTCGGTAAATTATCAAGACATTTCTGCTTAGTTTTTATTTCTTCTTTTTATCTTCAGTTTTCTTGTTCGTGGCAATCATAATTGTTACCAATTGACTCTTGATGTTTTGACACACGTCAGTTTTTTAATTTTTATCCAAAGCTGCACCGTGTCGTTAATGCTAGTAGAAAAATACGTTATTTTTAAGTTGCTTGATTATTTTTAAGAGACTTGCAATCGGAAAGTTTTTGCTGCTTTAAAATCTTCCAAGAAAAAACAGCGTCAAAAAGGCAAATGCAAACTGATCCTAGGCTTTATTTCAAGACTAACGCCAGTTATCTAAAGAGGCCAACTATGGCACACTTCAAGAGTGACGCTTCTTGTAAAATAAATGGTCCAAAGTTTATTTTTTTGAAAACTTCGAAAAAAGCTGCAAATTGTTTCTCATTACAGAACCACCCATTCGAAAATATTTTTGAAAAAATATATTTAAAAGTTAAACTTTAGGCGTTAGATTTTATTAAT